GAATGGAAGATCCCCCAGCTCACAGCCGAAAACCACGATACTTGGTTTCGCCGAAACAAGGTCAAGCTTAAGGGGAAGAAAGTCTTCTATGTCTGCGAGAAAAATCTGGTACAGCACTGTCAAATAGCAACAGCTAGTAGACTAACGGAGGCTATGGAAGAGTTGGAAATTGCTGAAACAGACAAGCATACCAAGATCCGCGTCAACATTGAAAAAAGAGACAAGTACCTAGAAGATGAAGCCACTGCAATCGATCTCTTGTTTCGGTCGCTTAGCGAGGATGACCAAGCCCTCATTGACGAATACGATACTGCCTTCCAATTCTGGGCCTACCTACAAAAGAAGTACACCCAAACTGACGCCACAACTGCCAACATATACATGACTAGAATTCAAACGTTCACATTTAATCCCGGGAACACGATTGTTGGATCATGGGAGAAGCTAAAGGACTACCGACGTAAACTTGTAGCAGCAGACGCCGACACCAACGGAGCTTACAAGGACTCTGCACTACTACTCGTTCTTATCAGATCACTTCCGAAAGAATTCAAGACTACGATTGACACCTTAAACGCCCAACTTAACCTCACGGTTGAACAGAAACTTAAGTTTCTGGAAGAGAAGGAGGTTCGAGACCAGCAAGACGCCAACGAAAAAGCTCTTCCAGCATTCCGAAAGACGGAGAAGTATGTTCCGCCTTACAGGCGTCGAAATCATAAGAACTCGCCACTATCGTCTGACTCCGAATCTGGTGCCAAATTCACGGTCCAATGCTTCCTTTGTGATGGAGCCCATGGCGTACGAGACTGCCCAAGACGTGAGAGAGCTCGAAAGCTCCTTAAGGAATACGACGCTAAGAAATCATCTAAGCTGCTCGTTAAGACACCTAAGCAAAGGAATTCCCACAAAAGGACTGGCAAAGCATATGGAGCCGAAGAAGTCAATTCAGAGTCAGATGAATTATCTGAGACCTCAGACTCCGAACCCGAGGAAATTGAGACATGCCGTCTCTCAAAAGACATCGTCGGTAAGGCCTCTCCATCTACCTGGGCTGCCGACACTGGCGCATCCTCTCACATGTCTGACCAACCCTCATTATTTAGACGAATGATTAAGATCAAACGAAGAGTCGTTCGGGTTGGAGGGGGAGAATTATATGCGGACTGGAAAGGAGAAGCTCAAGTGGTGTGTAAGGATGGATCGTCGACATGGCTGTCAGAAGTACTGCTTGTACCTAACCTTGGAGTCAATTTGTTATCAGGAAGAAGAATTTGCGCAGCAAGCCTGAAGGGTCGTTTCAATTCACACGCACTATACTTCAAACTAGGAAAGAAGGTTATTATTGAAGCAACTATGGACGACGGCCTCTACGTAGTGTCACACATTGCCGATGGATACCAAGAAACAGCATTTCTAGGCACGGAACTCCATGCACCAGTTAAGAGCGAGCTTAAGGTTAATGAAAAGGAGAGATACTTGCTGTATCACAGACGCTTCGCACACCTAGGACCTGCAAAGATTGCTAAACTCCACGAAGTTACAACTCTCCAGAAGAAGATTCAAGTTCCAGAGAAGATAGAAATCTGCGAAGTGTGTTCTCTGACGAAAATGAAGAACAGCATCCCTAAGCAGCTGAGAGAGCATAAGGCCACGAAGCTAGCCTTAGTACAGTTTGACATTGCAGGACCCTTTCCAACATCTCTGCGAGGAAACAGGTGGTTCCTCCTTATTATTGACAGTTACACGCGAAAAAACTGGGTTATCCCGCTGAAGAAAAAGGGAGACGCACAAAGGGAACTCCAAATCTGGAAGACCTTTGTAGAACATCAAACTGGCGAAAAGGTTAAAGCTGCTGGAACTGACAACGCACCAGAACTTCTACAGCAAGCCGAGGAATGGAGAGTTACACAGGGCGTGGAAATTCAGCCTACAACAATTGCTTCCTCACACCAGAATGGACCAGCTGAGCGAAACATCCAAACCGCTGAAGCTGATATGAGAGCAATGCTGAAAGACGCTGGTTTACCAATTGAGTTTTGGGATGAAGCTGTCGAAGCAGACGCATACCTGCGAAACCGCACAAACACAGGACCCACGATCAATGGAAAGCAAGTCAGTCCTGAAGAGGCATTCACAGGAACGAAACCATCCATTGACCACATCCGTGTATGGGGGAGCAAATGCTATTCTTACATCAACCCCAAAACGATTCCAGCAGACCAACGACATGACAAGCTCGTGGACCGTGGCAGAGTTGGAGTATTCATGGGATATTCTGAGACAACAAACAAGCAGTTCAAGTTCTATTCGCCAGAGCTTGGATACACCTCAAGGACAAGCCGATTATCAGTGGACGAATACACCCCTGGAGGAAAAGTTGAACTACGACTGCGAAACATACCAGCTGGACCACAAGGGACGCAGAATACGATGCCAGACCGAAAACCAAGAGGAAGACCTAGGAAGGATCTGGAATCATCTCCTGCAGAACCAATGGAACCACCTCCTGCCAAATCAATGGAACTATCTCCTGCAGAACCAATAGAACCATCTCCTGTCGAACTAATGGAACCATCTCCTGTCGAACTAATGGAACCATCTCCTGTCGAACCAATGGAACCATCTCCTGCAGAAATAGTGGAGCCAGTTCCCGAGAACCCAATAGAACTGTCGTCGGCAGAGCTAACTCCCGAACCAGTTAAGCGTCACAGAGGAAGACCAGGGAAGCTAACGACTATTCCCCCTACTGCACCATCTGATGAGCGGGTTCCTAATCTTGTGGACGAAGAGGGACCCGAAGAACCGTATACCCAGTCTGTACGAGAAGAGGAGGCTCCACGATACTTCACCAGACAAGCCAAACGAAAGAGGTCTAACGAAGAGGTTGTTGAGGACGAGAGATTTAGCAAGATCGTTAAAGCTATGCTAGCCCAAGCTGGCCTTATAAAAGAGCAAACACGACTATCTGAGAAGGCTTTTGCAGCAACCGAGATCGCAGGAATCCAGATCCCCCAGACACACGAGCAAGCTATCAACGACCCAAAGTATGGAAAGCAATGGAAAGCAGCAATACTTGAAGAGATAATCGCGTTAATGGAGAATCGAACCTGGGAGGAAGTTCCAAAGCCAAAAGACGCGAACATGGTTGATTCAAAGTGGGTTTTTACAGTCAAAACAAATCTCGACGGGACTGTGAGAGGT